TTGAGCCTTAAAGAAAAAATGTAGAGCTTGTTGAGTTGTACAAAGTTTGTTTTTGGAGTTTTCAAAGTTGTTTAGAAAAATTTAAAGTAATTTGAAAAGGCGAAATTCCTTAAATGTCCCCGTTTTGAATTCAAATTTTCATTTCAAAATGTAGACCGAATTAGGGAGTGGTTATAAAAGCAAAGTTGTAGAACTTTTGATTTTGAACAATTTTTATTTTTGGAGATTTTTGAGTTGTTACACAAATTTGGGAGTAATTTGGCTTTGAAAACGACTGGCAATTCTGTAATTGCTGTGAACAGTGTTCACCGCCTAAGCTACATGGCCGGCGACCTTCTTCGGCGTTCCTGGCGCGTCGTGGCCATCTGTGATGTCACGCTGGCGCGGGAAAAGGCTCCGTCGTGGCTTCTTCTGGCTTCCTTGGCCGCTCTATAAAGCTCGGACGCCGTCGCCGACCTTCCTTTCGTTGCTCTGCTTTTCCCGTCGCCCTTGCTTATCTCCGGCGAGCTCGTACTGTCGCTGAGTGCTCCATCGTCGCAGCTAAGCCAGTTCCAGCTCCGTCTCCTTCTTGTGCATCCATCCAGCCAGCTTTGGTAGCCTGATTTCACCAGGAATCCGTGGTGTGAACCCTTCTTCTTTGCGGCCAGCAACCTCACCGTCGTAAGCACATCTCCGTGGCCAGCGCCCTCCGGTGAGCCATTGCCCTTGATCGGTGTACCTTTGGCTTCGTCTCGATGCCGTGGTGCTTAATCCCTTGTTGCTTGGTCATTTTGCCCACTGCAGTCACCGGAACACCGTCACCGACGATCTTTGCTCTATCGTGATCACCGTGGACGTCGTCACGTGTCACCGTTGCTTCTCCGGTCTCGCTCTTTGCTCCAACGTGTTCGTGGTGAGCTGCTGAACCTTTCCGTGCCTTTTGTTTACACTCTACCGGTCTCCTGTCGCTGGCGTAGCGCTGCCATGCTATCGCATCCGCCATGGCCGGCGTCAGCCTTGTTTCGTGCCATAAATAGTCTTCGTAGTGCCACAAATCGATGCGCCAAGTCATGGTGAATGTTTTGGTACCTTGGTCGTCGCCGTTGGACTCACCGTCGGCAAGTTTTCGCCGGTCAGTGCGCGTGTCGCCGGAGTCAAAGCCGGAGGTTGAAGATGACATGTGGGGTCACCCTATCAGTGACTCAGCGTTCAAAATGAATTTTCTGTTTTTCAGATTTGAATGAATAGTGATAGTTTTTGTTATTTTTGTGTAGAATTATTTAGGGTTCCAAAAATTATGAAAATTTTTGTGTGACCTCTATGTGATGTATGTTATTTAAGAAAAATATGAAATATTGTTTTTCAATACTTTTTGAATGTGATAAAAATTGCTCAATTAATTAATAAATGAGTTTCCATGATGTTTCTAGGCTTATTTATGTATCCAAAAATTATGAAAATTGTTTTGCCACTTAGTTATCATGTGATGAACATTTACAAAAATTTTGAGGTCAATTGGAACAAGTTGATTTATTTCATAATTTTGCATCCATCATCGAGCATCATATTTTGTATCTCGCATCATGTTAAACATGGCATTGTTACTACGTGTAGTGAACAAAGGTGAGCATGTGGTAGTTAATCAAGTAGTTGAGGAGGTTGATCCGTCTGTGGAGGTTGGTGTTGATATCGGTGGAACGACTCTAGACCCAGATTTTTCTGTCAACGAAGGCAAGCCCCGGATACATTTAACCCTACCTTGTGTTTTACCAATTGATTTCGCTTTTGCTTTTCTGTACTGCATTAAGTGATTAGGAGTTAAGTGAAAACCTAATTGGTGCATTACCAACCTTGTTCTTCCATATCTACCCTGTTATTAGTTTTAATTCGTATATGCCTAGTTTTGCTTAGCTATGCTTAGAACGATGAAAGTCGGGTGATTACCTGTCATCTGCAAGTGTTAAATATAACTTTGGTTACTTATGTTATCATGTGATATGGGCATATGGAGTAATAAATCTAGACCGGACGGACTCGGTGTGTGTGAGCCACAAGACATGGAGGTCTTGTGAGCGGGTTCTTTCCGCCTGTGTCGGTTAAGGTCCATACCGTTGTTGAACTATGTGCGGTGAGACTTTGTAGTACTAACCACATACTCCGGTAAGCCTTAACTTGGTTATTCTATTATGAGAATGGCTACTCGCGCACTGGGAGTGGAGAGATGGCGGGAATAGCGTGTACCCACGTGGCAATGGGCTAGATTGGTGGAGTACTGTATTCTCGGGTGACGCGGACCCGTTCTTGTTTAGAGGATCCAAGGGTAGGTTGGTATATGTAGGTCGGGGACCTGCATATGTCGTGTGGTCTGGAATCCCCAGTTGGGTTTAATCGGTTCAAATCGTCGTTGCTCCTCGGTTATGGAGACTCACTTCTCTGTTCATCATCGTAGTTTAATAACTGGAACTTGAGGTTGGTTTGAGAAAGTGTTGGATATGAAGTTTCATGATCTCAATGTGGGTCATGTCAGCTTTGTATATGATCTTTATGAAGTTTTAAATATTGATATAAAGAATTTTGTTAAAGAGCTTTTACGCAAAAGAACCTTGATTATTGCTAAAGCCATACCTTGAATCCCTGAGCCTGCATTCCTGTGTTTTATTAATTCTTATTTCGGTTAAGTCTTGTTGAGTACTTTTGTACTCAGGGTTCGTTGACCCTTGTTGCAGGTGAGGCTCATGAGCAGATCTGTTTTGGATCGTGATGCATGACTGTTGTTCAGTGCGATGACGATAAGTAAATGTGTGGTCCTTAGGTAGGGCAACTTATTTGTGTGTTCTGTAATATGTTATAATACCACTCCACTACTTTGGTTTGTATTATTTATCGAACTTAGTTGTATGGTTTGAAACAAATATTTTGTAAACTATGTTATTGTAAGATTTCCGTTGTTTTACTCTGGTATAGATATTTGAATAAATGTTATAATACTGCAATGACTCTGTAATGTGATCCTACTCGGAAATCGTGGATGATTCGGGGTTCTCCGAGGACACCCGACAGTCTTCTTAAGTTACCGGGAACATATGCATAGTTGTCAGAGGTCTTTGGACAGTGACAGGTGCATGTGGGCCCTATAATTTAGGAGGTTCTGCCACAACGATCGAGGCTCAACCAGGCTGACCCTAGCCGGACCCCCATGAATGGGATGCTGGGACCCCAATCAAACTATCCAGCTAACGAACCACCAAATCTCATGGCCATACCCGTGAAGGGTCCAACCTCGGCAAGAAGGAATCACCGTCCACGCCGTGGGCGACAAAAGAAGGCCAGGACCCTTAGAGTCCTCCCTTTCGAAAAAACCTCCGAAGGAGTATTCTACTTCTCCTCAGGCTAGGGGCTACACCTACCGGGTGCGCTCGCGCACACCCACTGGCAAGTCAAAAAATCCGCCAGGCTATTCTACCTGAATCGTCCGGAGGCTCGGGGGCTACTGTCAGGGACCAATACTAGGGTACCCGAAAAGGAGGAGCTAATAGCCATCAACGTTGATTCATCTGAGCGGTCAAGAGCACAACCACCTCTTGTTGGGCACCGCCTCGTCCGACCACCAAGGCCATGGGCTTGGCCTCATCTGACCCTCGAGGGTTGGCTCCGCCTCGGTGGACACTGAGGTCGCAGGCTCCACCTCGCTCGACCCCCAAGGGTTGGGCTCCGCCTCGTCCGACCCCTAAGGGCTGGCTCCGCCTCTCCCGACGTCTGAGGGCTGGCTCAACCTCGCCCGACATCCGAGGGCTGGCTCCGCTTCGGCTGACCCCCGAGGGTAGGCTCCGCCTCGGCCAACCCCCGAGGGTTGGCTCCGCCTCGGTCGACATTTGAGGGCTGACTCCGCCTCGTCCAACGTCTGAGGGCTGGCTTCGCCTCGCCCGACGTCTGAGGGCTGGCTCCGCTTCACTCGATCCCTCAGACACGGTTCCTAACGGAAGCTCACGTCGCCGCCAACCACTACGGGCCAGATGGTACGACCCAGGGTTAAACTTCTAGCATTGTGCAGGGAGCGGTCACATCTCAACACGACCTGTCCCCATGACATGTCATTCTAGAGGACTCACATCGCCCACAGTGACGGACGTGTGGTCACTATGCTGCCTACTCCCTATACGGCCGCTGATCAGCACGCTGGTTCGCCGTGCCGCTCGGTGGGGCAGAGTGGGACGTGACGACCCGCTGACAATGCAAGGGCATGGCTTTATCAGCAGACAGGCGCCCGGCGTGGAGGTATCCCTGTCGCCACCTGCCATGTCAGCGGGGCCCGCATAGAGGAAAAGAAAGGCCCGGCGACCTGAAGGACTTCCTCTGCCTCTCGTTCTCCTTTTTTTCTTCCATCGTAACCCGTGCTTTTCCTTGACCTATAAAAGGGAAAGCAGGGCGTCCCATTAAGGGACATCGCATATCGCACCGCATCATATCAAAACCACTGGCATCGAACCTCGAACACATAGCTGAGCAGCAACCGCGCTCTCGTCACCCCTTCGATCTTTCCACCAGAGACTTGGGACCTGTCCCTCTCTCGCCCGTTTGTAACCCATACTACGAACTTTTCAGTGCTAGTAACACGAGTAGCAGCCGTTAAATGGATGTAGGGATATTCTGCCCCAACCAGTATAAACCTTGTGTCTTCTTAGCACACTATCCAGGCCAGACGTGCAATAATACAAATTTACTCGTTGGTATTTACTCGAAACACCGACACTAGTTATAATTATTAGGTATATAATAATATTTTTTATATATTTAGTCAAAGTTGAGATAGATAGGCTTGATAGAAAGCTAGAATTGCATCTTTTTTAAGATGGATGGAGTAGTACATTGTAAGATATTTTTGCAATTTGCATGCATACCATTTTGTGAACATATTTCCCTTCGTGTGATTAGGAGTTGGTTTACTTTTTTTGGCAGGAGCAAAGAAAGATACTGAACCTGAGGCAAAACTAACACCAACCACGAAAATATCTGGCAGGCCTATGGAATCACCAAAGAAAATGCTTAATATAGCTCCTACTAGGTGCTCCTCACAGCGGGCAAGGCAAGAAACTGCAGGCAGTAGTAACTTGAGCAAGAAATTAGACAAGAAGAAACAAGAAGAGTGGGATAAGGAAATTACAGATGGTCATTCAGTGAACCAACAAAACCCTGGAGCAAAACTAGACACTGCCATGATTGTGCAGTCTATGAAGCGCGGAAAGCGTTCAGCCCGGCAAAGGAGAAAGAGTTCTGTACCGTGGGTAGAACTGCTTGGGTTTAACTTCAGAAACGTGGGAAGGACACGTCAGAAAGATCTGGCTGTTGGCTCGAAGAAGATGAAAAGAACTCGTAGAGGCACCAAGTCGTTGTGCGTGAATAATAGGGGAGCTAAGGGAAAGAAGAGTGTTGGAGGTGGAAGGGATGCAAGTAAGCAGTCTACTCCTGCTAATTTAGACAAGGCCCAGGACAATGCAGCAGATACAGATGCTGCTGAGCATCTCAGTGTGCCCAAATCTGATACATCATCAAAATCCAAGGAGCAATGTGGTACAGGTGCAGATGAATATGCTTCTAACCGGAGTGGTGTCCCAGTCCCAGTCCCAGCAGATGACACACTCATGAGTAACATTTCGATTGATCTCAAGAATAGTAAAGATGCAGTTGCCGATGGTCTTATGACGACAACTGATGTTATCAGTCTTTATGAAGCCAAAGAGAACCATACTAAGTTTGATCCTACAATAATCCCTGGCTTGGATCTAGAAGATGGAGCTGACAAATTTGATACTTCAACAGCACAAGCCTATTCGTTTGGCTGTAGCTTGTCGTAAACGATCGTAAATTTACAGCCGAAACAGTATTTTTCTCTCACATAAACCAGCCAGCAGTACTTCTTCACGAACCAGCAACGAAACGAACCAGCCAACCGAACAGGCTGACGATCTGCTCTGGCGTCACTCTCTACTGTCTCCGCGCCAGACCCGTGCATCGAGTTTGCTGTTAAGCTTCTAAAGGACGAAACGCCGCTGACAGCATATGTTCCAGAAGTTGACGCGATCATTAGGAAAATGATTTGCCATCAGAAGAGCACAACTGCTGGGACTTCAAAATCTGCTCAGGGCAAGGACTAAAAGAGCAGGTAGCATCTGAACAGTCAAGGAAACCTGATAAGGGATGCCAATTTGGTATCTGCAGATCAGTGTAATCGTTTGTCATTAGTGCACAATTGGCACATCCTAGTGACCGATGCCTTAAAAAAGTCTTTTTGTTATCTCTGTTAACTCTCTGTTTCCTATTTGGGTTGAACAACAATTTATGATGTTCCTTTTGAAATCAAAACCGCAATGTTTCTATCTACTAAAAAGAACTGCAATGTTTCTTTCTGCTCCCGTTATTTTATTCTGCTGGAAGAGACACCATACAGGCAAGGGTCATAATGCCTGGATGATGATGCAATTTCACCGGCTTGAAACTGATTATGTGGTCACAGATTTTAAGAGAATTGTGGCCTACTTTTCGTAAAAAGTTTTTTTTTTAAAAAAAATAAAACTAAAAGGAACCTATACTTTTGGCCATCTTGACTTGTACATTTGACAGCATTACTTAATCTATGCTTTTGGTCATAGACTTCTACATTATATTTCCAGCATTATTTCTACTCAGAGTCACTACGTCCATACCACCACCCTATGTTCCAAATTATAGGCCGTTTTGGGTTTTTAGTTTCATAACTTATTTTGCTACGATGTGTCTAGACACGTAGTAAAAGTTCTCTATCTACAAAAACAAAATAATCTATAATTAGAATGGATGAAGCATCGGGTAAACCCCCACCCCCTCCCCTCCGTCTCAATATCCATGCTGGCTGTTGCTAAGCACACCCCTCTTGAAAAACTGCCAAGCCAAGATTCATTCACAGTAATGCTAGGAGTTAGACGTCCGTCCACGCGCCGACGCCCTTTTTCGTGGACCCGACGTCCAGAAGCTGCCGTTCCTATCCACTTCCTCCACTCCCCTCTAGTCAAACGTAGATTAAAAAAATCCATGCATCCGCTCCGTGACCGGCTCCGCCGCGGCTCCCGCACGCCTCCTTCTCTACTACGCCTCCCTCCGGCCTTCCTCTCCACCGGCGCCGCGCCCGCACCACCACAGCGTGCTCTCCCACGACCGAACCGCCGCGGCGTGCTTGCCGCGCAAGGCCACACCACCTGACTGCTGCTGTCGCCTCCACTGCGGGCATCGCGTGCGCCCTATCGCCAGGGGCCGCACAACCGCCTGCCTGCTGGCATCCTCCTTCTCCACCGCGACCGCACAGTTGGGATCCCGCTGTGTCGTGCTTTCGTCCACCTGACTGCCATGTTTTGCTGAAAACGCATGTTGCAAGCGTATGTTTTGAGTGTTTCAGATGTTTCAGAGGTATGTTGCAAGTATTTTTTTTGTGAATTGGTATGTTGTAAGTGTTTGAGATGGATGTTACAAAAGTAGATCAGGATGTTGCATATGTTGCAATGGTTGTACACATATGTTGCAAATGTATGTTACCAATGTTTTACCTGTGTTTTCTGGACACATGTTGCAAGTGTGTTTATCTAGATGTTGCATATGTCTCACACATATGTTACATGTGTTTTATCTGGATGTTGCATTTGGTTGCAATGGTTTTCAAGTGTTTTCAGGTGTTTTTTCAAGTGTTTCAGAATCATGTTTCAAGTGTTTCATCTATCTTCAAACGTATATTGCAACTGTTGTAATTGAATGTTTTAAAAGCAGATCAGGTGTTGTATCTCTTCTCCTCGCCTTTTGCTGCATCGTCTCGGTGTGTCCTTCTCCCGGCAGGCAGGGCATCCATACGACGCCGACCGGGTCCTTCCGAATCGAGGGCGCCGCCCCCTTCCTCTCTTGGTTCTCGGGCGGGGCAGGCCCCGCATGAAGCGCACGAAAAAGAGTGCAGCGCGCGGGCGTCCGTCCAGACATCCGAACTATAGCACTGCCGATTCAATAAGGCAAATTCTTTGTAAGGCCTTGCAGAGTTTCAAGGTTTGGGCTCGCCAAGCCCACACTACGAGAGTAGGAACGTCGGTACGGGCCTCAACGGGGGGCTCCCTTGCTTGCAAGGCCCACTGTCCACATATAGACCAGGCGCTCGGGGCCCCACGTCCGAGACTCCGTGGATTGCCTCTGCTACCTCACGGAATGCTAATACCTCCGTCAGCCGCTGCTTCCCATCCGCTTCTCCTCCTCCCTGCCAGAACCGGAGGCCGAGGAGGAGCCCCTCCTCGTTTCCACGCTGCCAAACTCGATGCTCTGAACGGGCGATTGTTGCGCTCTTCCTCCTCCACTCTCAGCTGCTGCTGCTCTCCCTCTCCTTCACCCGGCGACGGTTGGAAAGGCAGCGCCCACAGCCTGTTCGATGTAATTCCTTTCATGGCTGACGAGACGCCACTTTCTATTTCAGTCTTACAAATAAGCCTCGGTTGCTCAATCCTTAATGTTTATCGTCTGAGTATGCTTTTGTTTTGGGAAACCGTTTAAGTCTGTTTGCGAACTTAGAAATTTGCTCCTATTGTTTAGCTTCCCATTTGTGGACCATTTGTCCAGCACTCCAGCTTGCTGCAAATTGGAGCATACCTTGGTCAAGATTTGTAATGCTAGATTAGCTAGTTTCGCTCATTCATGTCAATAACTCAGCGCACAGTGAGATTATGTGCAATTTCTTTGGTATGGTAGGCAGATTCAAAGTGTCTAGCTAATCTTGTAGGGGCTGCTTTACTGTCTAATATGCTTTCCAAATATGCTTTGTTGAATTATGCATGCATGATTAGGAATGTCTGGAAGTTGATTGTTACCATTTTCCCTTTTTTCTGTAAAGAGTAAAACCACATTTTTGTGCTTTCCACATAAATTCTTACTGGAGACGATGTTAAGGTACAGTTAGTATAGTTACAATGTTGATGGTCACATTATCAATACTACATACTGATAAGAATTTATCACATCGGTGTTGTCATGTACCAGATATATAGACTGCTTGGTTCAGCTTCTAAAAAGTGCTTTTGCTGTCAAAAAGCAGAAAGCCAACCAAATAGATAGAACCAGAAGCTGCTTTTCCAAAAGCGGCTGCTTTCACCTAGTCAATTTTTGCAGCACCTTAATCCTACTTTTGACTTTCAGCCTTAGAAATGGGTGGAAATAGAGACGTTTTACAACTGTTTCAAGGGAGATAAAGATAGGGTAGGTTTTATAGTTATCTCAACCAAACAGCCTACAACTTTTTCACAGCACATATCTCATAGCAACTTTTCCACAACTCACAGCTCACAACGGATTTTTCACAGCCCATAACTGAACGAAACAAACCCATAAGCTTATAAGAATTATTTATGACAAATTATTTGCCTTTTTTTTAATCTTGATGACTGGGATCTATTTTGGCTCCACTGATATGTGAAGCAAATACTTCCTACAATTCTCCATGATGGTTATCAAGTTGTCTACATCTAAAATGCTGGGACATGATCACATTCTAATGTGCTATTTTGTATCAGCAGGAGCTTTCAGTTCTTTCTCCAGTTGTTCCATGGCAGGTTGGTGATATATGGAGAATATATGCAGGTTATTTCTTCATCTTGCATATCCCCTTGAGCTTTGGAGGGCTTGGTGTGGTTGCCAAAGTGCTACAGCGCTCCTCGCTTGACTCAATGACAACAGTAGGTGGTGACCTTTTTGTTAACTAACTAGTTTGACTCACTCATTTTAATGTACCTGAGTTGGAAGCCTTTATATGGACACTGCCTTTTATAGAATGACATACTCTGTCGATGCAGGTAACTTCTACAGTTATACTTCAGTTAGCAGAGCTTGTTTTGACCTTAGCGCTACTCCGGTACACTGCAAAGCCAGGGCAAGCTATCCAACCTTTCTTTTCTGGGAAGGTTTTTACAGAACGGAATTGGGTCAAAGAGATTGTATTAGGCTTTGTAGTTTTGATGGCCCTGGTATTGACCACATCCATCTTAGCTGATAAATTGGTAGGGTCTGAGGTAAGATTTTCATCAAGCATATTGATTTCTCTCATACTGTGCATTAACGTTGCTCTACTACACTACAATAGTTTGTTTTTGGTTAGAAGGGGTCTAAAAGTTTTTTGGGCCCTTGCAGGATGCATATGATCCGATATTAAAGGAGATCCTTTCTGAGAGTCCGGCCTCTGCTCTATTGTGTTTCTTTCTCTACTGTGTTATTGCTCCGCTATCAGAAGAAACCATCTACCGTGGGTTCCTTTTAACAGCTTTGTCATCTTCAATGAAATGGCGAGACGCTGTCGTGATCAGTTCACTTGCGTTCACTGTAGCACACCTCTCCGGTAAAAGTTCCATTCAACTGTTCGTTGTTGGATGCATTACAGGGTTGGCTTATTGTCGAACTGGAACTTGGTCTGCTTCTTTCACCATCCATTCTCTGTATAATGTAGTATTGTATAATGTAGTATTATTGTATATGGCTTTAGTATCATGATCATTTTTTAGTATAATGTGAATGCAAGTGCTTTCACTTTAGTCTGATTATTGCAGCGGTTGTAAGCTCGCTTAGACCTTCACTCTCCCGTAGTCATCGGGCTAGGATAATCGATGACTTCCGCATGCACTATATCACAAGGTTAACCTAGTCACTACTGTTAACCCTACTACGATCATATACCACGTAAACATATGTAATAATAAATAAAGCATGCATCGACATAGACCAGAATAGCAGTGACATAAGCATAAGCAACTAACTTTCAGAATATCGTTGTAGTTTGATTTTTCCTCTTTGAACTTCAAAACCAGACTTCTTACCCCTGAACTCTCAAATCTGTTTAAATTGCTCTCTACCCTGGTTTAGAGTGGTTTTGAAGGCGGTTTTGTTCTTTTTTTTTTAGTTAAAAATGATAAATACTTGATAAGGTTTTAAGCCACGGAACTATCTCTATGCTTTTAAAACTTCTGAAAAAAAAATCAAGAGATGGATTAGGATACGAAAAATTAAATAAATATTTAGAGCTCATGAAGATTTCTATAGATGCTTCAAAAAGAGATATTTCACTCTAGGGACATAGAAATTATATAAAAAAACTAGAAAATTCTCAAAACATTCTAATTGATATGTAAATGTGTTTTGAAAATTTTTCAAAACAAAAAAAAAACATAATATGCAACCAGCATGAATGCATTCAATATTAATGTATGTTGCATTCATTCTAGTTTCATTCATACTTTTTCCATGCAAAGTTTTTAAAACATGTTTATACATCGATTAAAATGTTTGGGGATTTTGTAGAATTTTTTTGGATATTTTTTTTACATTTTCCTAGAGCTAAACCTTTTTTTAAGTTTCTAAGATGATTTCATGAGCTCTAAATATTTTACTGGATTTGTCAGATCTCAATCTATATCTAATTTTTTTCAGAATTTTTAAATGCTTATAGAAATCTTTTGTGATTTAAAAACCTTCTCAAGTACGTCCTAGATTTTTTTAACTAAAAAGGACAAAACTACCTTTAAAACAACTCCAAACCAAGATATGGTGGTAATTTGATCGGTTTCGAAAGCTTAGATGGTAAGATGTCTAGTTATAGAGTTTGAGGAGGAAAATTAGACTACGGTGATAGTTCAAGGTAGAATAGACTTTTCCCTTCGAAAATGTTTTATATCTTTTGAAGCTGTTTTTAAAATTTTAAATCCATCACTCCCTCTGGACTTCAAATGTAGGACTTCTAGCTTTCGCAAAACTGGTGCTTCGATCGAAGTGGGGTTAGGCTTCCCTCGAACTTGTCTTCCTTGTGCATGTTCCTTGGATACTCATCAGCCTATGTCCTTGTCGGCATGTCGACTTAGTCCAAAGATTAGTCCATTTGCCTCACATTTCCTGACATTTTGTAATATACTCCAAAATACAAGGAATAGTCAAATATGAAGTTATATCCAAAGTCAACTGGTGTATTGATGTTAATTTATGTATATGAATGAATGAATTTGCTACTAAAAATGAGTAGTAAAATGTGTGCATAGTATGCACTAGTAACCCCGTCCTGCAGCAAGTGATCGATCAAAGAAGTAATTACCTTTAGTAAAGATCAACGCTGCACTCGTGTAGCCGATACCTAAACTCATCCAAGCACATGCATATCCACACTCCCTCTGTCCCAAAATAGATGAGGCTTTTGACTTTTAGATATCAAGTTTGACCATTTGTCTTTTTTTTCAAAGTAATAAAATAAATAAGTTATTATTAAAGTATCTCTAATGATAAAAATAAGTCATGACAAGATAAATAATATTTATATAAAATTTTGAATAAGACAAACTGTCAATGTCTAAAACTAAAAGACGTCATGTATTTTGAGACAGGAGTACTTCGTAGATACTGGTGCGGTGTGGGAAAAAAGAGCCAACCATAAGATATCGTTATGAAAACGCAAGGTCTATTGCGCGCGGGGTCGCGCTCCTGAGGGCGCCAGCGACCCTCCAGCAGGCGGCCTGGCCCACCAGGAGCGTCCGACTCTCAGTGGCCTGCCTACGCCCATGCGCCTACCGTGCTTTTTTTTTCTTTTTTCTTTTTTTCTTTTTTCTGTTTTTTGGTATTTATTTTATTTTATTTTGTTTTGTTTTATTTTTAGTATTCTTTGCATTTTTTTAATTTCAGTTTTAGTAGTATTTTTTATTTTTTTATTTTATTTTCTATTTGCCAATTTCAGTTCTATTTTTTTTTGTCAATTTCAGTTTCAGTTGGCAGCAAGCCATGTTTCGTGGATTTTGTAATAAATGTCCTCCGGTTGGCAACAAATCAAGTTTCCTTGTTTTTGTAATGTGTTGTATATAACTTGTCCTCCTAGTTGTTAGCGTATGCAATGCTTGTTTTAATAATTTGCCTCTTCAGGTTGCAGCTTGTCTTGTTTTTGGCCCGCTACTCTCTTTAGGGGTTAGTATGTTTATATAAATATTATATAACAATTTTATTATATTCCTATAGTAACAATTGATGTGCATACTTTGTAACAAATTCAGTATATTTTTCAGGAACAACTTTAGTATTACATGGTAGTAACTCCTAACACATTTACACACAAATTGCTTCTGGGTAAAATTCTTTGAAACGTAGGCAAGTGGGGTATAGTTTTATTCGCCACATCACGTAGAACACGTTGGTGCAGACGGAATTGAAAACGAATACAACACTAAAAAATTGTAGCCATTCAAAAAAATGTTGTGCTTTTTTTGCATTAATTACCTGACGTCATGGTAAGTGTGCTGATTGACACTTGCGCTGACAGGAGCCGGATGAAGCTGATTTATTGTGAGAAAAAATACTGTTCCATGCCTGATAAGTTTAAACAAACGGAACCTGAGTAGCGCGTGGGTCGTGCTCTAACTAAATCACTTCAACTCTCGATGCATATTACTACATTTTTGGCTGTATGAATATATCAGCTAGACCTCTCAGTCTCAGTCTCAGTGGCTAGTTTTCAACAGTGTTCGCCTAAACGGCCTACGTTTAAATGGCCACTAAACGGTAAACGGTGGATAAATTGTTTTGTTTAGGGGGTAAACGAAAATTAAACGGTTGACCGTTTAAACGGTCAAAAAAAAGGGAAAAAACGGTCTAAATGGCCTAAACGGAACGGAGATAAATGGTATTAAATGGGTTAAACAGCTGTTTAAACGGCTGTTTAGGCGAACACGAGGTAAATTTAGTTCAGTTTTGTATGGATAAATTTGTATACTTAAGTTTATTATATTTATAAATATGTACACTTGATATGTTACATGCATAAATATCTATATTTGATTCTTTTCACATGCATAAATATATATACATACCAAAATAATTTATTTTTACTCGGATAAATATGTATAAATACTAGAATACTTGATTTTTTACATGCACATATATAATTATATGTATTTTTTTTTAAAGTACAGAACCGTTTAGACCGTTTAACTTCGTTTAAACACCGTGTAAACAACCTAAAAGCTAAACGAAGGGCGATCGTGTAAAGACCGTTTACCGTTTAGAAAAACATTGGTTTTCAGACTTCCTTTCCAGTTATATATCATTCTTTTAAGTTATAGAATGGTTTCACCGTTACCCATTTGGGTACAGGCAACTTGAAGTGGACTGAACGCTCCTGCCGGCTGGGGAGGGTATGTTAGCCCACACTGACCTATCGCCCAAACTCTGCCATCGCCCATCGGCATCACAAACAGTATGTCAGCCCACACTGACCTACAAGGATACAAAATCACACTGGACTATAAGAATACAAAAGTTTAACCAATGCAAAAAAAACCTTTGGAAGACAAGGGAACAGTAGTGGATATGGTGATGAGGAGCATCAAAGAGCCACTTGGAGACAAATGCAATGCGATGGTGGCAGGCAGTTGGAGCGACATTTGACGATGGCACCACCCTCATCGCCTATCAAAGCAAAATTTGATGATGGCACTTGGAGCGACAAAAGGAGTTGTGGGATGGAGGATTAAACCGAGAATATTTAGGATTGCTATGTGACTTTCGTTCATTGGTAAAACTTCGTATATCATATCACAGACTCAATAGGAAATAGTAGAGTGCTTGTAGATGATAATAATCGGGTGCAATGCACAGGGAACAAATTTGATGTCCAACTAACCAAGTAAACAAATTAAATATCAGCTGTTCCTAAGGCGTATCTTGTTTGTCCAAGTAATTTAGAAATCTTGACATACAGAGCCAGAATGTTTCTGGAATCTTGTAACTGGAATGGCTAGCCAGGGTAAAAAACACATCAAGAACAAATTTTTGTGATTCATGCTTCAACAAAGTACGGATTAGCATGGCACTCCAAGCATCTGGAGCCAAACTGATAGCTTGCCGGAACGATTGTACTGTATTCACCAGCCTCCTGATCATCTTACTTCTCTGCAAGACAAAGCAAACCTTCAACAGTATTACAAGCTTGAGCAGTAATAACATAAAACATACTCCGTGCTATGCTGCACATTGACCAGTTCACGAATTCAGCTGAGGACGTACACTTGTACAACCACCCGAGGGGGGGACACAACCGCAAAATTCATTACTTTCTGAAAGAAGCAAATCAAATAGTACAGTGCGCTTGAATGGTCAAAAGTCTCCTCTAATGTCTTATTACGCACCGGTGATATTACATACGCCCTCTAGACTCTAGTCTAAAAGTAAAAGCCTTTTTGGGAAGCTGGTTTTGGCTTGCAACTAGAGGTCATTTTGGTTTTCTAAGCAAACACTTTGTACCAGGCAAACCCATTGGATTCTTGTTGGTATTACTGCTTGCCAGTGGTGCTTGTGAGATGAGTGAGTAATCATTAATAAACAGGAGCAAGCTAAATAAAAGTATTAACCATAGCGACCAGAACTGTGGTCCGCAGGGTTTGCGGCTTGCCACATTCGAAAAGTAATGTTCGCTATTTGTACTCTGGTTCATGAATCAGGAATCCAGAATAAGGTTCATGATTCAGAACTACTCGATCAGATATATGTCCAGGTATAAAATAAAGAAAGGAAAGGAGGAAATGGCAAGTAAAAGAAGGCCCCCCCGTTCCAACCCTAGCACTGCAATGCACAAGCTCTCCTTCCTCTCGTTGACACAGCACCACCACCCTTTTGCTTCTCCCTCAAACTTCATGAGGCTACAGTATGCCACTGCTACCGCCAGGTACGCTGACCACACAACTCATTTTGGCAATGTGCTTCCCCATCCTCAACTCCTGCTAGATCTGATCATATGTCGAACTGGGTCAGGCCAGGTAAAACCCGACGTTTTTTCTCTTGGCCCAGGACCGACCCAACCCATCCCAGGCATCGGGCTGCAAATCTTAGCTCATTGCCGCCCAATGGCGAGCTCAACAGGCCGCTGGCCAGCCCAACCAACTCAGGTGATGCAGTTCGCACATCAAGGATGCACTAGCAGGCAGCGCACAGCGTCGATGTTGATGTACCAAGGAGGCATCTGTGGCCAGTGCTCGACATCGGTGCAGCGAGGAGGCATGTTGAGTTGGTGGATGGCTGCTGCACATCGATTTGGTATTCCTCCCCACGGCGAGATGCATCGGCGTGGTGGTAGCCAGCGGGGATCTTACAGATTGGCCTTCGTGGCCTCATAGGGATCTGGTAGCACCTGGCACAACCAGGTGTGTGGTGGCAGGGGATGGACATTGGAGACAGAGGGTGGAAGGAATCATGCGTTCGTGGCTTGGCCTATATAGGTCAACGATGTGAGGTGGCTGGGTTACAGGGAAATATCACCTGAGCTGATGCCGTGCATGCATGATGAGTGGGCTGGATCAGCACAACTCTGGCCAGGATGAAAATTCACAATGGTGATTGGACTGCAACAGAGAACAAGAAATGAATTATGTTTCTTTTTCTCCCTATAGTCAGGTCATCGGGCCAGCCCATAGGCTAGAATTTAGCCCCAAGCAAGACCCGATTTTTGCTTCGGGGCAGAAATTACGGCCTGCGCCCACCCGATGTGTCGACCGGGCAGGGTTGACCATGATCAGGTCTAGCTCCTGCTTGTTGCCCATGCTCCCAACACCCTGCTTTCCAGCCGTTGCCACTCTCTCCCAGTGCTACCAAGCCACATCATTAGACAGATTTCAACACAGGCAGCAAAGACGGTAACCATGATGCCCTCAGCATTTTACTATTCTTTGTTTGGGTTCTCCCAGCCCCGTTGACCACCCACAATTTTCCAGTGATTCACTTCACACACAAACCATGAATTGATTCGTGCGACCTGAATTCAGGTTTGTGAGCATCCAGCTATGGTACTAACTCAACCTTGTTATGTGTGGATGGAGTAGATCTCTGACTGGAGGTAAGTAATGCACAATTAAAAGAATTGAGGCATTGCACAGGAACTACAAATCACAGGGAAGAAATTATAGTTTCAACTATCAAATCATGATGAACATCAACTAACCTCTGGATTTATGTCCCCTATCGTTCCCACCTTGTCAAATATATACGGGAATGTTGCTTCTTGAAGAAACACGTCTGAAGCTTTAACAATATCCTGGACAAGGAAAACCCGAACCCGCCATCCTTTCCTCGATAAAATGAAATCAAATAGGTCTTCTGTAGCTGCAATCACAGAATGCATATCAAATGATCTCCACTCAGGACTTCCATTGGCATGCTCACTAGAGTCAGCTCCCGCTGCGCTTGAAGATTCTGATGACTGTTCAGATATAGCTGCAATCTGAAAAACAAATGATGTTAGGAGGAACAAATAAAAAAAAACTATGTATAACACAAGATCAAAGAGATATCTGTAAAATTTCTCATGACACTAACCCAAACACAACACCAGGATTAGGACCCACAACAGGATAGAGACCAAGACCCATTTCCAGGAAAGATTGACTGATTTGTTATTATATTTTAATTTTTCAGATTATATATATTTCTCCTCTGTTGCATATTGAAGCTTTAAAACTTGTTAAGCAATGCAATTACAAGCCTATCACCATATTGTTTCATAGAATTACAATGTTGTGTGCCTAACTCAATAAACTACAACTTCTAGGACCATTTTCAAATAACTACAACTATTTCACCCATAGTAACACAAAACTACAGTTTTAACACCCTGTCAAATGGCTGCTTGATGACACCTGTCCTCCAGACAAAGCCGGATGTGATGGGGACACCCAGGATGGTTGATGCATACTTGTCCAGCTAAGGGGTGGGACCAATCAGCAGTTCAGCACTACCATCAGGGTGGTGAAAAGTTGTTGATTTGTGTTAATAGGAGCACAAATAGATGTAGTTTATGAAGTGGTCCTTAGATAAGGGGTTCTTCGGACATAGAGAGTTGCCGTTTTGTGAAATTTACTCTAAGTGAATTGAAAACAAGGTTTTGTGGCGTGAATAATCATAGGTACCAGAACTGAACCTGCCCAATTTTGCGTTGAGCAACACTACAGTACTGGCACAAAATATATTTAAAAAGTCGACCAAAATAGGAGGAACTAGGTCACATTGTAAGTAAGAAGAAATGGGCAATCATATTCAAGCCAAAGACAACTCGAACCTGGGTGGTGGGGAGTATTCCCACAAACTGAGCTAGCTCAGATCATACAACCCAGAAAAAGAATACATGATGCCCAAAAAAAAAATTAGATAACCAACAGTAAAAGTTGTCCATAATTCCACGTCTATAGAGCTGGATCCTATTGTTGTCCTTTAGTCTTTACCTTAGAGGTTCCGTCTGTTAAGAGGGCTACCACAAATTAGTAATCATGTTCACAGAAAGGATAGATCCATGAAACTGTTTCCACGCATACAAACAGAGGAATCAGGAGTGTATATTATTATATCATGACAAATGAAAGTCCCTAGTGTGTTCTTGATTTTTATTGACTGTTTTTTGTACTTTCATCATATGGTTTTGGGGAAAAAAATCATGATAAAAATGAAATAGCAAGAGAAGGAACAATAATTAAGAAATATGTACCAGCCTTTCCAGTCGATTCCATCTGATGGATCCATCATCACGTATAAGAAGCTCCCTTAATATTTTCCTCATATCGGGACTGGGGTCTGCAAGGAGCCTCCCAATCACAAAAGGATATGCACTCTCAATAACTTTAAACTCAGGATCCAGTGCTTTTGCAGTCCCTTCTAGAGAACCAAGTGCTCTTATCACCAGCGCATAATCAGGGGGGAGGGAGAAATTAAATTCATACATCAAATCATATAAATGGTTCATTACACCCTGCAAGGCAAGGAACGAATGAACTTAGAAAGGATCAAAGGATGGACGAGATTAGAAAAAGGAAAGTAGAACCAGGCAGATGAGAGCATCAACCATATGTAAGAAATTAAGCCACAATAATGATCCGAGTAGGAACAAGACAGAGATCCAAGTAGACAAGCTGTTTAAATACCATACCTCAAAATTGAATTAGACTTACCTATAGAATGTCAGACTTGTTGGAAGGGCACATACGTGAATAAAAAGGATGTTGCTATATTAAATTTTTAAAGAAGTAAGCTAATAACTCAGAATTTCCTTCAGCGACAGATAAATCTGAAGACTACCCTACGAAACAAAAAAAAAATCTTGACTATCTTCACCAGAGTGTCAACTTCAAACTTCATCATTATTAGTTACCCAAGTTTCACAACAATAATCTGGCTGTGCCTTTCTGTTTGTTAGCTCTAATCAAAATGCTTAATAGCTCAGGTGAACTACAGCTAACATGCTAGCATTGAGAGGCTTTGAAGTAGCTCTAGAGAACAATAATTCTAAATAACACATGCCTTAACAACAAAGCCTTTTAGTCCCCAGCAAGTTGGGGTAGGCTAGAGATGAAACCCAACATGAGGTCATGAGCCACCAACAAAAAGGGAAATAAAATAAATATATGTAAGGCATCAATAACAGTGATATTATTAGGGGAGGTAAAGCCTTGTCACGGTTCAGGCACGTAGATAGCTGCTTTCCATGCACTCCTGTCCAAGACAATTGTCTGGGTATATTCAATCCTTTCAAGTCCCTTTTCATTGCCTCCTACCATGTCACCCCCCCCACCCCTCCTTACATTGTTTTCATGCCTTACTATTTTACTTTGCACATGCACTGGAAAGAAAAATATTAACTAACCTGGAAATCATTTGACTGCCTCCTGACATCACCAAAGGAAAACATAGCAACGATCTGCAACTGCAAGTAAATCTGTTCCCTCAGGAACAAATCCTAGTGAATGGAAATCGTTAAGCCCAAGCCTAAGGAGTCCCGATTAACATAATGTACAAGCTGAAACAAGTAAATTCAGTTTTTCAGAAGTAAATTTCTTGATTGAAGCCAAGCAACACCAATGAAACCAACATATCAGGAAACTAAAACATGAAGCTACTATGCCACATATTTCACAAAACAAAGTTTACAATTACCTGCTTGTATATGGTAGCAGACAGGGTTATTAATTTATACAAATATCATGCAGCAAAAGGTAATCCAACAAAGCTTATAATTACTCGGCCTGCAGGGGGTAAGACAGCCCCCGGGCATTTTGCTAAGCAGATCGAGAAAACCCTTGAACCCCCCCCCTGTTGGAGGTACAGAGTGTTTTTACTCAGTCAGGGATGACACACCCAGTATTTGCTCTTTCATATATAGGAGATAAGTAGCACATTGATTACATTGATGGCTCATTAGAGCATTAACTAAACAGCTAACTGCCTGGTACTTGCACAGATCACTTGTGCTGCCCAAGGCCTTAATAGCGAGAACATAATTAAGCACGGATAACTAAGTGATAACTGAGAGCAGGACTTAACTTCTACAGTTCTCCCCCTAAGACCTGCTTCCCCCATCCTTGATCTTCATGATCCCAATCTTGCTTCTCATGTCTTCAAACTTGGCCTTGCCTAAGGCCTTAGTCAGAATGTCTGCCAGTTGATCATTTGTGGCGACGAACTCAGTCTTGATGCCTTCTTCTTCAACACAATCTCGATGAAGTGTTGTTTGATTCGATATGCTTGCTTCATCATGAAAGATGGGTTCTTTGCAAGTGCTATTGCTGATTTGTTATCCACTGCAGCTCTACTACTTCCACTTTCTTTCCCAACAATTCAGCAAGTAACTGGACAGCCACAGAGCTTGTGTTGCAGCAGTAGTCATGGCAGCATACTACGCTTCACAGCTAGATAAGGCAACCACTCTTTGTTTAATGGACTGCCAACCGACCAGATTGTTGCCTAGGAAGAATAGACAACTGTAGTGCTCTTGCTTGAGTCAATATCTCCAGCCAAGTCTGAGTCACAGTAGCCAATGAATCTGCTTCACTTTGGATGCCTTGGTGAAGTGCAGAGCCATACTCAGGATCGCACGCCACATACCAAGAAGGATACGCTTCACTTTTGCGATGCTCTATGGTGGGCCTCTCCAAAATCTACTCACAAACCCGATTTGCAAATGCCAAGTCGGTCGAGTATGAACCAAATATCGCAGGCTTCCAACCAATTTGCACTGTCTTGTGTTGGATCAACTTCCTTGGCTGTACTCTTCTTGCTCAATCTTAGCCTTTCCTCCATAGGAGTGACTCTTTGGGTTGCAGTCCACCATACCACCCAATTCCAGTATCCTTTTGGCATAGTGAGTCATCTCTAAGGGTGATGCCATCGGTGCTCTCTGTACTTCAATGCCCAGGATAGAAGCTTAAGAGCACGAGGTCACTCATCTCAAATGTTGCTTTCATTTCAGCCTTGAAGCTTTCAACATCCTGCTCTTTGGCCCTGTGATGATCAAATCATCCACATACACACCGACAAGCAACAGAGAGTTTCGAAACCTCGCCTATAGATTGCGACTTCATGGTTGCTTTGTGCGAAACCTTTCTTCTTCAATGTTGAATCAAGCTTTGCATTCCATGCTCTTGGTGCTTGCCGTAGGCCATACTGAGCTTTATGCAAGCGATACACCTTGTTTTCTTGTCCGGCAACAACAAAGCCAAAGCGGTGATGCACATATACCTCCTCGTTGAGGTCTCCATTCGTAAATGCGGACTTGACGTCCATCGATGAAACAGACCAACCCTCCCATGCCGCCAGAGCCAACAAGACTCGAACGGATTCCATGCGTGCGGCGAAGCAAAGCATCATCATAATCCACGCCTTTCTTCTTTGGACAAAGCCACGGCGACAAGTCCGGCTTTGTGTTTGATAACATTACCGTGTTCGTCCTTCTTCAATTTGAACACCCACTTGAGGGTGATTGGGCGGTGACCGGCGAGGAGGCTTCACAAGCTCCTGTCTTGTTTCTCTCTCTCGATCGCGAGCTCTTCTTTCATTCTTTGCGCACCACTACTGGATCTCTCTTGGCTTCAATGATGCGGTTGGTTCGCCAGAGTGCGTTAGATGCGACTCTGCGAACAGCGAGTCTTGCGGTGGCGGTGTGGGCTCACGGCCAATGATATTCTTGGCAGATTACAGTGGCGAAGTGGTTCATCCTCGTGATAAGCATCCAATCGATCATCATCATCCTCGAGGCGTGGCATGCTCAATCCCGAGGACTTGGTGGCGGTGGTGACACTTCCAGTGCCGCTGGAGCAGAATTAGCTTGAGGATGAGTTGATGCGGAGCCCTCTGCTCCTTCAACTCCAATTGGGCTGTTTGGTGCGAGTGTTCTTGGTGAATCCGGGAGCAGAGGCGACGACGGCGGGCCGGTTCGCTTCGCCTCCTCGACGACGAGACATACTCAGCTGTGAATTCACTCATTGTTCACACCGATGGCCCAGATTCGGCGAGGACCAATCCCGCCCATGTTCTTCATCAAATACAACATCACGGCTGATCCTGACACGCCCGCTCACAGGCTCAAACACCCTATATGCCTTAGCTCCTTCTGCATAACCAATAAACACGCCGGCCTCGCCGCGGTCATCAAGTTTGCGCAGCTGACTGAGCTTCCTTGTGTATGCCACACACCCAAACACTTTCATGTGTCCCAGAGTTGGTGAACGTCCATGCCAGGCCTCATATGGGGTGATCCCCTTCAACGCACGTGTCGGTGATCGGTTCAGTATGTGGACTGCTGTCATCACAGCCTCCCCCCAAAACCGAGCTGGCAGGCCCCTCTGCTTAAGCAGTGCCCTTGCCATGGCCACTACTGACTGATTGCGCCGTTCAACTACCCCATTCTGCTGAGGTGAGTGGGGAGCACTGAAGTGCCTCTTAATGCCTTGTTCTCAAGGCAGAGGTAGCGAAATCAAGAATCGTGAATTCTCCTCCATTATCGGTCTGGCAGCACCGATTTTTTCGACCACTCTCCGCCTCTGCGCTTTCGGTTTGATGCGCTTGATGGCTTCTGCTTCTTTGCATCCTTGCTTGGTATGGCGCTTTGCCACATGAAACGGCTAAGCGTCATCGACGAGCGGCAGAAATATCGATTCCCTCCGGTGTTGCGGTGTCACCGGGTCCGCAAAGATCGCCGTGCACCAGGCTCAAGGGGCTGTTTGGCACGGTCTGTGTTGCGGTTTGAACAGGCGCCTTCTCATTTTGGTGGTGACACGGTGTCACACACACGCCCCACATGGTCAATAACCGACACACCGCGCCATTTCCTCCTTCCCAAGTCTGCGGAGTGCATCAAAATTCAAATGCCCCATCCTCTCATGCCATCGCCACGCTTACATCTCCTCTCGCATCTTTGCAAGACAAAGTGGTTGGGGCGCATGAAGTTGGAGTGTGTACAATCTGTTAGCCCTCTCTTCACCTTGGCAATCAAACGGCCGGTGTGTTCCCGACATCGTAACACGTCGTGATATATCTCCACCTTGGAGCCAGTCTCGTCAAGCTGACCCAGACTGATAATGGAATTCTTCAGGGCTGGTATATAGTACACACCCTGCAGCACCCTATGCTCACCAGTTCTTCCTTCGAAAGCAATCGAACCGATGCCTTTGATGTCAACCTTGGACGCATCTCCAAATCGGACCGTGCCTCGCACGTCCGTGTTCAAGTCAGAAAAGAGCTCACGCCGTCCAGTCATATGGTGTGTAGCTCCTGAATCAAGGTACCACACATCTGCCTTTTCTTCATCGCCATTGGCACCAAGGAAGGCGCGGGCTTTTGGTTCTTCCAGATTCACCTCTTGAGCAGCATAGGTGTATGCCGGCGCGCACTTATCAAGATCAACGAGCCCATGCGCCAGAAACAGAGCCCCATCATCCTCGCATTCGCGCATCGCGACACGGCCATTGTGGCGCCGTCACCGCCGCTTTCGCCCCTCGGCCACCGGCGTCTTCGGGTTTTGATTGCCACCGCGCCGCCGCCACGAAGGCCTCTGCCCCGTCCGCCGCCGCGGTCACCGCCACCATCACGGTCACCATCTCTGTCTCGCCGTGGATGAGGGCAGTCTCTTGCCCAGTGGCCCTCCTGGCCACAATTGTGGCAGGTATCGCCACAGCGTCCACCATCGCGGCCGCCGCCCGCTACTCTCTCGCCGGCCGCGCATGCGGCCACCACCGCCGCGCCTTGGCGCGCCACGCGATTCTTTGAACTAGAGCCAGCGAGAATCATCCTCGCCCGCCCTTCTTCTCCTTCGGCGTCGCGCGCATTGCTCCTCGGTATACATGAGCTTGCCGCCGACGGTGATTGGCTCGATGGCGCTTGCTCTTCACGGTCATCAACGCCTTTGAGCCTCCCAAAGGCTTCCTCAAGCGTGAGCATGTCAAAGTCCGAAACGCTCAATAGCAACCACAATCTGCGCATATTTCGACCAGTCGCAGACGCGAGATACTTCTCCACCACACGCCTCTCATCGATGTCCCGATCACCATGAAGGACAAAGGCGTCGATCTCAGAGTTGAGAAGCGGAAGGCAAAATCTTCGACGCTTTCTCTCGACTTGACATCGATGTTCTCCCGATCGCGGCGGATGCGTTGCGGCGTCGCGCGGCGGACCCCATCCCACGCCGATGCGCGCGCGCGCAGCTATGGCGTCCACGCCTCCTCCGGCCCGTCGCTTGTCGATGGCGGAATCCCCATCTCCTTGGGAACCGGCTGCGACAATCGCCTCCATAGCCCGCCCGGTCGTCAGCGGAGCGAGACCCGCTCTCCTTCAATCTGCGTCCCACGGATCGCGGGCTGCGATTCGCAGCTTTCATCTCTTGGCTCCATTCGTGGTAGTTCGTTTTGGACAAGCATCGGCCAGATTCGTGCGGCTGCTCGAAGTCCTCATGATACGACCACAGCCGTACCACGAGCGACTCCGACGCCCGCCATCATGCCACGCGCTGGATGATGGCGGAGATGGAGACCTCCTCGGCGCTGAGCTCTTGACCTCCTCCTCTCCTTCTTCATACTCCAGCTCCTCTTCTTCCTTCTTTTTGCGCAATCTCCTCCCCAAAGCTCCCAGCGGTCCTTGCCGCCTCCTCTGCCTGCTACTGCCGCCGCTTTGCCAGCGCCACTGGACCGCTTCTTGTTGCCTCCTCTATGACTTTTAAGCGCGGCCCGGCGGAAGGAGTCCTCCCGCATCGGCCGACGCCCTTGGCGACCTTCCTTCCTTTTCCAAGATGTCGAGGCCATGGATGAGAAAGCGAGGAAGGGGCTCGAGTAGAAGATGAGAGAGGTGTCTAACCTAGGCTCTGGTACCAATTGTTGGAGGTACAGAGTGTTTTTACTCGATCGAGGATGACACACCCAGTATTGCTCTTTCATATATAGGAGATAAGTAGCACATTGATTACATTGATGGCTCATTAGAGCATTAACTAAACAACTAACTCGCCTTTGTACTACTTGCAGATCACTTGTCTTGCCCAAGGCCTTAATAGCGAAACATAATTAAGCACAGATAACTAAGTGATAATCGGGAGCGGGACTTAACTTCTACACCCCCACCCATACACGGCAATGCACCGTGTAGCCCATGTGAGAACATGGTGAGGCCAAACCTTAGACCTATGCTTTGGTGTGGGATAGACAAGGGATTTTTTTAACCCCAACTGAAATTCGGCTCCCATGGGGAGTCGAACCCGGGACTGAGGAGTGCTACTCGAGCCACTAACCAACTCAGCTAGAGGCTTAAATTACACATGAATAAAGTACTACTACAAGTATAATGTTTCACACAACTGATGATAGAAACAGGACTATATTGCATTAGTGACTCGCATATCAAAGTTCAGTTTTATTTATGCTCTACCACAAGTGCAGTAAACAGAAAGATCATTCAGCAAATTATTTCTTGCTAGACTTCCTAATTAAATTTATCCACAATGTGATTAGACCAGGAAATAAGATTAGCCATGTTTAAGTTTAACCAACTTCTGAAAATCAAACACCAGCATTGCTAGCCTAACTTGCTGCTCTTTGAAGACCTTACCAATAACACTTGGCCTGTAACTTACAAAAATAGTTAAGTGATTTAGCAGCACAACATCTAAGTCTAAACCTTTCTGAACTTTCCAGTTTCCACAATAAGAGTGGAAAACAATACCCTTCGTAACATCCATGAGTTGAATGCAGAACAAGTTAAGACAGTCTCACATACCATTTGTATAAGCCCCACACGATAGTGCCTCGGAATATCTCCCATCATACCAAAGTCAAAATATGCTAGAGATCCACCTTCAGTTGCAACTAAATTACCAGGATGGGGGTCTGCATGGAAAAATCCTTCTTCAAGCAGCTGTCGCAATGAGCAATAGAGACCCTGTGAGACGAGGAAAAAAATCAGTCCATAAAAGTCAGCAAGCATGATATAAAAAACATAGAGGGTAAGGAACTAAGGAGCAATGTTCAAAAAAAGTAATGTGCTGCCTATCCAGTGTTCTGAGGAAAACCTGGCTCTGATTCAGAATTTATTGCCCTGCAAAGTGCTGGATTTTCCTTGCAAATATTTGGGCTTGCCTTTGACCATCAAAAAGTTGACCAAGGAGCAGGTCCAACCCATAATTGACAGAGTTGCAGATCAGCTACCTGGATGGAAGGCGGATCTGATGACACGTGCTGGCAGAGTAATTCAAGTGCAATTTGCTCTCACAGGAATCCTAATCTATGTGGCCATGGCAACAGATCTTCCACCTTGGGCTATCAAAGCCATACATAAGATCAGAAGGGCATTCCTGTGGAAGGGTCGAAAAGAGGCAAAAGGTGGTCATTGCCTCATTGCCTGGCCTAAAGTGTGCCGCTCCCGGGAACTGGGTGGTCTTGGGATAGCAGATCTAGAGTCCCTGGGTATTGCCTTAAAAGCAAGATGGTCGTGGCTTAAGCGGAGTGCGCCCAACAAACCTTGGGAAAATCTGCCTATCCAAGTCAGTAACGAGGTAGCTGGCCTCATCTCTGTGGCAGTGATAACAGAAGTAGGAAGCGGATCTAATATGCTTTTCTGGAAGGATAAATGGCTGGATGGCAAGGGAATTCAGGACATAGCACCTCTGGTTTTCGCACTGGTACCCAAAAGAAGATCAAACAAACGCACTGTGCTGGAGGCCCTCAGTGAGAAGAAATGGACAGAGGATATACAAGGAGAAATCTGTATGACAGCCTTGAATCAGTACCTAGACCTTTGGGATGTCATGAATTCTGTGGAGTTGAATGAGAATATTCCTGATAAGCACATCTGGAGGCTATCTTCATCGGGTAAATATACAGCAAAAAGTGCTTATGATACCCTATTTCAGGGAGCAATCTTCTTTGAACCTTATGAGAGAATCTGGAAATCCTGGGCACCCCCCAAATGCAGATTTTTTATGGTTAGTTGCTCACAACAGATGCTGGACGGCGGACAGATTGGCAAGGAGGGGGCTCCCACATCCAGAACAGTGCGTACTTTGCGATCAACAGGAGGAAACTATTCAATATTCATCATTTGCTTGTGGGCTGTGTATTCTCAAGAGACTTTTGGTTCTCCCTCCGCATTTTGGATTTGCATCACTTGCTCCACAACCTACTGACCAATCCTTTGATGAATGGTGGAGAAAAGTTGATAATTCGGCTAGTGGAGATTTGAGGAAGGGTCTGAACTCTCTAGTCATTTTGGGAGCCTGGAGCATCTGGCGGCATAGAAATGAGTGTCTTCAATGGCGCAGCACCAAATGTTAATATGGTGCTGGCTTTGGTAAGGGAAGAGGCCCATTGGTGGAGCCTGGCAGGAGCTAAGGGGATCTCCCTGCTCACTGCCGAAGGAGCAGTCTAATGGACTGCTGTAGCGGTCGGGTCGTCATTTTATTTTTTAAACCGGCGATTTAGTTTCCTTGTAGTAGTGGGTGTTTGTGTGTGTGGGTCTGGGTCTATGTATGACTCTCTCTTCTTCTATTAATACAATGATACGCAGCTCTCCTGCGTGTTCGAGAAAAAAAAAAGGAACTAAGGAGCAAGGACATACACTAAACACAGTAAAACACCTCCATAGAGATGGTCACACTTATGTTCTAGCCAAACATTCAAGCTAATGGTATTTAAGGGATGAAAGATATGGTCATACATTAGAATCACACAGGAGAGACAAAGGACAGAACTAATGTTGCAATGCAATTACATTCAAGCAGCCAAGTGACAATACCTCATCTATCATTCTTTTCCTGTTCAAATTGGCTTTGCTGATGCGCTCAGCATCAGTTAGCTTAATTCCATCAATCCATTCCAGTGTCAGTATGGTTTTACATGTATAATTCCAGTAAACTTTTGGGACCTTGATGCTTGTACTACCTTCAGAATTGATCCCACCAGAACCTGCTAGAAAATCAATGGCGTTGAGCTTGCAGCATGTAAACTGTAGAGGAACAGGTATTGTGAGACCATAGTTGGGGGATGGATATAGAGTATATCAATAATTTATTAAGAATTGAATTAAATAAGTGTGCAAACTCACCATGAGAATAAAGAGTAGCAAACCTTTCAGCATTTTGTCCTTCTAAATTATAATCAATCTCATCAAACATGTGCCTGACCTGTTGAACCAAAGATAAAATGTAATGCAACATACAAAGGTTAAAATTATACAAACGATCTAGAATTTACAGGAGGGCATGATGATTGTCAAAAGAGAAGATCGTAGGTCTACAATTTGCATAATGGTCTTGTGATTTATGCGACTTCATTTTCAGGAAACAAGCATCTCTGAAGTTAAAAAGATAATTCAGAAAGGATCAGAAAAAAGATTAACCTACACCCAAAAATACTAGAATCACAATAAGTCAGACCATTAAGTACCGGGTAGAGGGCCATAACAAGGCAACAAACATAGGATAGTCCAACAAATACTACACTTACTAAAATCATATGGTCTATGCATAATCCAAAGATAATATACCATGAATCATGTGAGGAAAGAGCAAAGCTGAGCATCATCCATCTCATGTTATGTGGATAGGAAGCTATTGATAATATAAATGAGAAAAACATTCTAATCCAGTCTGACAATAAAAATTTTGGATCCAGATGAAGTGGTCTTTGGAATTCATAGTAATCAGCCGGCCATGGCAAATGTAAAAAAACTATAAGAGAAAGAGTGATCAGAGTAGCACAGACAACGACAAGTCTAGTTCAGAAAGAAGTAGAAGCTCACAATCTCATTAACTGCCACCAATAGGTCTTTGCGAGCCTTAGCAAATCGTTTCATTTGTCCTCCAATCATGTGGAACAAAAGTGCATCTAGAGTCAGCAAGGGCGCCATTCCAGGCCTTTGAACTTTGACTGCAACAAGCTCTCCAGAACGTAGATGAGCTGCATTACTTGAAGTATCAAAGAAATGCATTTCAACTTGGAGAACTCAGGTCTGAAATATATGCTAAGGTAAATAACAATCAGTACAGAACAAGGATAATCACCAGTTAGTAGCAGAAGTCTTATCAGAAATGTCTAACCTTTGTAAACTTGCCCCAGTGATGCTGCTGCAATCGGCTCTGGGCTGATATCAGCAAACAAATCAGAAATTCGAGAGCCCAACTGAGACTCTATGGTCCTGAGTGCAATGCGAGTTGGAAATGGTGGTATTTGATCCTGAAAAGAAATTGTTCAGCCAACAACAACAACAAAGCCTTTAAGTCCCAAACAAGTTGGGGTAGGCTAGAGTTGAAACCCAGCAGAAGCAATCAAGGTTCAGGCACGTGAATAGCTGTTTTCCAAGCACTCCTATCTAAGGCTAAGTCTTTAGGTATATTCCATCCTTTCAAGTCTCCTTTTATTGCCTCTACCCAAGTCAACTTCGGTCTTCCTCAGCCTCTCTTCACGTTACTATCCTGGCTTAGGATTCCACTACGCACCGGTGCCTCTGGAGGTCTCCGTTGGACATGTCCAAACCATCTCAACCGGTGTTGGACAAGCTTTTCTTCAATTGGTGCTACCCCTAATCTATCACGTATATCATCGTTCCGAACTCGATCCCTTCTTGTATGACCGCAAATCCAACGCAACATACGCATTTCCAGCGACACTTATCTGCTGAACATGTCATCTTTTAAGAGGCCAACATTCTACACCATACAACATAGCAGTCTAATCGCCGTCCTATAAAACTTGCCTTTTAGCTTCATGGTACCCTTTTGTCACATAGGACACCAGATGCTTGGCGCCACTTCATCCACCCTGCTTTGATTCTACGGCTAACATCTTCATCAATATCCCCATCTCTCTGTAGCATTGATCCTAAATATCGAAAGGTATCCTTCCTAGACACTACTTGACCTTCCAAACTAATATCTTCCTTCTCCCGAGTAGTAGTGCAAGTCATATCTCATATACTCGATTTTAGTTCTCATCGAGTCTAAAACCTTTGGACTCCAAAGTCACTCGCCATAACTCCAGTTTCTGATTCACTCCTGTCTGGCTTTCATCAACTAGCACTACATCGTCCGCAAAAAGCATACACCAAGGGATGTCCCAATAAGCTACTAGTACAAGTTCCACAGACTTCTGATTTTGAACTATGCATTACTAATGGCTGTTTTGGGGCCTCCAACTGAGATAGAACTCTTTCTAGGACTTAAACATGTCAGTGGACCTACTTTGACGCCACAACTTTAGGACACTCATTCACCTCATAATTCTAGGAGATCAACATAAACAGGAAAAAGCATGTTCTTAGATCTAACAATTTGTTTTCATCACAAAGAAAAAAATATAGAATGGGGAGGTACACAGGCTTTGCAAGCTCCTGACAATACGCACTAGAAAGTATATCAGGCCGTGTGCTCAATGCCTGGCCAAGCTGCACGGTGAAAGAGAATTGGTAAAAGAACATATCATCAATTCCCTAGTTGTAATAAGACAATATTACACCTAAGACAATATTAGCTAACAAAGTATTGTAGTTCAAAAACAAGATATGGAGACAATGGCACAATAAAGATGCAGTCAACACAACCACCAACATGATTGATTTTGTACCGTTGTACGAATGCTTAAGGTAGATAATAATCATGTTACAAAACCATAGTGATAGGTGCAGTGATTTTGATGGTCATAAGACATGTTACATTGATGTTGCTTCCACCTTAACAAGGAGATACACCATACTGAAAAGTTAAGCATCAAATTTAATCGAAAAGATCAGTGCTACATTCTACAGATATGTCAATCAGCATACCTTGATGTAAAAAGGACCCAAGCGTATCAAGGTCTCTCGAAACTGAAATAAGGAAATGACAATCAGAGACATGATGCTCAGTTCCACCAACAACAACAGACAAGAAAAACTACCTTTTCTGCTCTTTTATGCATGTCATTGAGCCACAAATGCCAAATAGTGAGTTTTACAACATGAAAAGAGATGGTAGCAGCCCTGTACAGAGCAAGGAATGGACCAAAGCCACGGTCAGCAAAAATCCTCATGTGAACTTGACCCCAAGATTCTTCCAAACTGGGTTTCCAGTGACTTCTTTCTGATCTTTGCATATTCTGATGATGGTCTCTCTCCATGTACACTTGTAAATGCACTTGAGTAGCTACAAAATAGAAAAAAATAAACCACCTAAACATAATTTCTGTAAACAAATAACACTAGAATTATTCAAATTTCAACATGCTGGCTCAGTAAAACATCTGCAAATCATTGAAATAAAATATTTTCTTCAAATAGAAGATCCAATTTATCTAAAGCCACAGACGAATTAACCAAATAGCCTTCCTCCTAAATTATAATGAAGAATTTATTTAAGCTAGATTAGTTCAGTATGTTTCTCAGTGATGATTGAGTAAGATTAAGTCATTTCGGAGATCTGTCTGCGTGAAACTTTATACACTGTTTCAACAAAAAAAAAATACAGTAGGCACTTAGGACGACCTGGCATTGCACACTGTTCTTCTAATCCAAAACATTTTAGACTATCAAAGTGAATCATAAATTGAATGATTGATTGGCGCACGGTACAATTACAACTAGCGAATTCCAAATCCGCAAACATAACGGAACTGCGACCTAGGGTTACGCCGTGGTGACCGGTAGCTGAGGTTAACCTGTCGACTGTCGTTACCTCATCACCGGCGTTGAGGCGGGGAGGCAGGGAGGTGGTGGCGACGCCGGGGAAGAGGTCGGGGGGGCGGCCTGCAAGGCGCGGGGAGCGAGAAAGGGGAGGCCTCTGCGTCGGTCGGCGCGGCGGGCGAGGAGGAGGAGCCGCGAGGTGGGGCCCGACATGGCCGGGATCTCATCAGCTCCGCCGCCCGCACGGGAGGGAGAGCCGTGGAGGGGAAGAAGGGGGCAGTGGGGTTTAGGGGAGGAGAGAAAGAGACCGGTGTACGCCGTGCGCGTACGCTCTCCTTGGAAGCAGTGAGAGGAAGGAGGCAGCGGCGCCGCGTGGCTGGAACCGAGTGCGAGCTGGCGGCCTGGCGCGCGTGCGGTGGTTCGTTGCTCGGTGCTGGGCCGCTGTCCCGTCTTGTTAGAGCTCGTCCAGTCGTCCCGTTGTTCGGGCCTGCTTGGATCGGATTCAAAAGTTGCCCTGCCAAAACTAGGGCAAGTTAAAATTAGGGCATGCCAAATTTGATTGTCAAAACTTTAGCCAAAATTTTGGTATAGCACTTGGTTGGGTGCCAAACTGGAACAGCTAAAATTTTGGACCTTGATTGGTTTGATGTCAAAATATATATGCCAAGGCCCATGATTCAATACCTAACACATACAATTATCTAATAATCACAGTATGCATGACAGATTAAGTCTAGATAGCATATTACTATATTATGTGTATGTACAGATCATCAAATGCGCCCATCTTCATTTAAGAAGACCACAGCATAATATCCACTGTGCTAAAATAATACAACGAGATACATAAATCCTAACCATATAAACAAGTTCATATGCTGACGACATGAAGCACGTCCAAAATACCCAAAATAACATCAGTTTAGTCAGTGCATCCATATGCTTTCCACCTGAAGCATGGCCAAAATACCACAAGTCTTAGCACCCATATTCACATACAGCTACCATATTCATAGCATACCCACTGCCACAAGTCTGTGCATCCATATTCACATGAAGCTACCATACTCACCATCATCCACACCAGTAACACGATACTTGGCACCTAGGTAATCAGGGACCCAAGATCCAAATGACTAGTCTGATGCAGCATTCAAGTAGTTCCGCAAATGAACCTGCTCCGGCTTTGAAAGGTAGGTCGCAATGTCAACCTTGTCCCTCGGTGGGAAAGGTATATCCTCAATACGCTTCCAAAGATCAGCACACGGATCTGTAGTTGCAGGGCAACTTGATGCAATGGATTTGGCAAGCATGGCAATACTTGCAGCTATTTCATCATCCCCTGTTGCTCTAGCACGTTTTGCTTTATCCTTTACATGCTTCTTCCAAAGCGACTTCTTATTCTTTCGTTTAATGCTGAAACTAGAGCCTACAAGCGGTGGGCATCTAGGAGCAATAGTGTCGGAATCATTCTCAGCATGTTCAAGAGTATATACTTCATCACTCCTTGATCTATTATTATCATCTTCAGCATCCACAATGCACTGGTCAACAGCCAAGGATTCATTAGCTTTGGTAGATTCTCCAAATAGCTCTTCCATAAGATGGAAAAAATTAATAGGTCGTGTAAGATAGTTGTATTTTCCAGGCTGTAATAGTTATTAACAAGTGAGCCCAGTAATCTTGGAGTCTACACATATTATATGGAAAAATAAACATACATGTATGCAGCGGATACACTTACCCCAAGCTTGGAAGGTGATTTATCTGAATAGTGAATATTGAACTTGCATGATCCTGCATCAAAACCATAGCCACTCTTGTCCATAGCTACTTTTATCCAATTCCACTTCTCCTTAAATGCCCTAAAATGACCATCAACTTTTTGTGTGGTAGCTCCAAGTCCAAATCTAGCATTTAAAGCTTCTGCGCATATATGGTGGTGGTGTTGCTTCCACGTAGAGGTAGCAGGTTTTTCCTTCAGGTAGTTAATATACCACTAAAGCATGAACTTCGGTCTTTGTCATCAGTCCATGTTTTGTACTTCAGACGAGATCCAAAGATACGCATTCCCATCTTTCTTTTCCTTACCCATGCTAAGAATACATTTTAAAAGTAAGTAACAAACATTATTAAACATATAATAAATAATGTTTTGTTTGATAGAAAGAAAGGTAATCCATTAAGCATGAGCGGTAATATTCTTTACACGCAGCGTACAAGCAAAGATGCAGATCTAAAGTTGATTACACACCCACCAAACTACACAAAACCAAAAGACAATGACAAGTACTAACTAATTGTCAATGGTAACATCATTATTAAGTCTATCATTCCACATTTGTTGGGAAATTGAATCACGCTTAACAGTAGCCCACTCCGTACATCGATGCATCGATCGGAGACACGATTCTTACTCCTTGGTAGGTGATTGTACCAAGTTGGCTCATCATATATGAACTCATTAGGTCCATCGTCTAGTATCCAATTATGAAGGGCACAGCAGGCAATGACCACCTTGACCTGTGACTTCAAGGGTATGAATGGCTTGTTGCTAAGAATCTTGAAGCGATTCTTGAGAGCACCAAATGCTCGTTCAACTGTTGTCCTAAGTTGGGAATGACGGTGATTGAAAAGCTCTTTTGGATATTTTGGGTCTTAGGCTCCGTGAAACTCTTTTAGGTGATAGCGAACTCCACGGTAGGGCGGTAATATGCCTAGCCTAGTGGCATATCCAGCATCGGCCAAATAGAACTTCCCTACAACCAAAGTTAACATAATGCCTAATGTGACGTCATAACGGTGAGACTATGTCAAAAATTTCAAAATCCATGAAAATCCATGAATACCTTCAGGAATTTTCAGTCCATTTGGACGAGAAAGGGCATCTTGCAGCACGAGAGAATCATGAGTGGATCCCTCCCACCCTGCTAGGACATAAGTAAAGTGTAGGTCAAAGTCAACAACTGCTAGGACATTTTGTGTGGGGTATGACTTGCGGCCCCTAAACCTATCCATAGATTTAGCAGGCACACATGCCTTGATGTGAGTTCCATCTAGTGCCCCTATACAACCCTATGTACAGAGACAAACATGTGTCAAAGCACTTATATCTAAAATTGCATATAAAAAATAAATCGCTTACACTATTGAGAGTTACCTCAAAATATGGATAGAACTTGTTAGGACTCTCAGTGATCTTTGGGTGCGTGGATATAGATCTCACATAAATTAGCTCAGGAGCTAACTTGACAATGGCACGTAGGACGGTATTAAAGCACGTACTCACTTGTCCATCCCGATCTCCACATTGCTATTGCTACTGAGAGAATGTGTGTATCGCCTAACAATCTTCAAAAACATTGCCGGTTGCTCCTCTCTTGAAACATGAAGTGTGTCAACTAATAGTCCCTCTCCTAAAGCCGAGCACAAAGCTTGTAGAATACAGTAAGAGACATCCTGAGCTCACGCATACATATTATTCATCGTCTGAGGTATCAATCAACCTAATTAGCTCACTACTACGCCATATATCCCTTTGCACCAATGGAGCATACTTTATGCGTTTGGTGTACTCCTCTTGTGATTTTTGTTCCTCCACCACAAGGCCAAAGTAGAACAAAAAAACTAGGGCCTTTTGCCTCGACATACAAAGAACAGAGAATTTTTTGTGAACATTGCCAATCAAGGTGTAGGCGTGTAGGCAATGTGTAGGAATAAAAAATGAAAAATAAAATGCAAAGCATGTATCGTGACAAGTTAATTAAAATAACTTTTGATATGCACAAGCATAAATGGAAACGCGAGTAGTACTTGGCATGTATAGTAGCCAATAAATTATATTACTTTAGTGAGCGGCGGTTTAACAAACTAATATATGCAACTAAACTAAAGTGATTTGAACTAACATTACCACGATGTGGAGCATCAAACAATTGTCGATTATATCTAGATTTTTTTTAATGGGCAAGATTTAATTGTTTAACCATCATATAAATAATGCTGAAATCTTAGCAGAGGAATATTCAATGGGCTTATGCGGTTGAGAATCGACTATCGAGGAACAACAACTACAATCGTAGTAACTTGTTTGTAAGCTTGTAGCCATGCGAGACTCGAGAGAGAGACCAAAGGAACTTCGATTTGAAAGATTTTACCTCGAGAGTGGACCAACGGATCTAGGTGGGCGATTGCCTCTGATACGTTTTCCTCTCGCACTTTGTTGCGTGAGATCTATAAACGGATGATAGATTAGACACTCATTCCTAGAAAATGGATGGAGGATTGAAGGAGGAAAACACTGCTTGCTAGTAGGAATAGATGGATTAATCGGAGATGAGAGGCCACGTGATGAGGAAGATGCTCCTTGTTCCCCAACGGATTAAGGGATCTGTTATGAAGGTAGGGATGGAAGGATATGTCCCTTTAATCTGTGATAGGAATGAGTGATGGACTGGGGATCCCTTGGGTGGTGGAGGTTCGGGATCGCACAGCGACGGAGGAGATAAGTGGCGTGCGGCCGTGAAAAGTGACGAAGAAGGAGGGATTAGAGGAAGTGGTGGCTGGCGTGTCGATGGGAGGGTGATCTTGTAAAATAACGAGGGCAATAGGAGTGCTGTGAAGGCAGCCAAAATATTGGCGCTCGACGTCTCGTGTCCGCCGCCGATTCGGCTGGAAGGTTCGACGCACCAATTCTTTGGTTTCAAACCAAACGAGCGCCAAAGGTTTGGGACTGCCGTGGATTTGGCCGGGCGGATTTTGGACAACATCCAAGCAGGTCCTTCATCTCCTGGATTGCAGCCCACGCCGACTTGCGTCCCCGCTTGGCTCAAAATTAGATTTGGTTGAACCGAAGATTTTTTTTATTTAATATATACATGCAATTCGATACTGTATATCAGGACAAGAGGTTTTGAATTATAAATCCTGACAAGTGCAATTTAAAATAAAACAATTATAGCCAACTCGTGTTTCCATATTTGAGGCCTAATGGCAGTCCCAATCCAGAAACCAGGACATGATTTCCAAGATTGCCACATCATCGTGAAACTACTTTAGAAACTTACAGCCACAACACATGATTTCTTAATGTGGACCCCACAGCATGGCAACACCAATCAACGTCTAAGTGAGAGGGCCCATCAGAACCAGTACATCTGCTCTTCAAGCCTATCCAAGAGCACGACACGTGCCTGATGGAAACCATGTTCGGCCCAACGCAAAATCCATCGGTTTCTCGTGCTTTGGATATTGAGCCAACACTGTTTCTGAACTGAGAAAAGTTTCCTCTCTTTTCCTTCTCTTTCTTTGTTAAGTCTTTTGCCATGTCATGTTTTTTTTTTGCTTATGTAGCAGGTTATTTAATGCTATGAAAACTATCCTGGTTTCAAGGTTGGGACTGCCTTGAGGAAGACTTGGCAAGCACAAATTTAATAAAAATAATTGTAACCAAGGTGCTCCCGTAAACTTTTCTGTCCACTGACACCCCCGTCAACCTTCCTGTGGTTCATGTGGAGAGATGGGTGTTTTTTGCTAGTAGTGTACATTGTCGTAAAGATCTATAGTCAAAAGATGGATGATCAAGCTAGTGGCGTACGATGTCATATGCCTCCCTCCCCATCAACGTTCCTATGGTTTTACGCAAAGAGATGGATGTCCATTGGTGGTGGTGTGCGATGTTGTACTGGCGCCAGTCAACCTTCCTATAGTTCTTATGAGGATGTCCACTCATCGCTAATGGTGTATGTTATGTTATCCTCGGTCTTCCTATTGAAAGATGGATGTCTATTGCTAGTTTAATAGAGGTGTTTCCATGGTTATATGATTAAGACATTAAGTCAGCTTGTAATAAAAATTACTCATTTATTTAATATAATAGAATTGTTCTATTATTCACTTATAACATCAAAAACGGGTGTGACCGCAGAGGTTTTAATACAGGTCATATGTCTACTTATAGGGCAAAGCTACATTGATCTCTAGGTATGCATAGGAGTAACCAACAATTTTTTCCTAAATCTCTAGTACATGAGGAAGTATATACATGTGAATATAAC